AGAGGGGACGAGGAGATGAGCAGAGGAACAAGAAAATGAGAAAATCATGAGAATGTTGAAAGCTATAGGGATTTCCCGTAGAATAGCTGAGACTCTGGTGCCATGGACGTCGGAATGTGTTGGGTTCCATCTAAAAATGACGTAACATGGCTACTGAAGTCTAATTGCTTTTGTGAATGAAACAGAAAGTGAAGTGGTAACATAAATGTCTATGTGTACTCAAGCGTTTATTCAGATTAAAAAAAAACAACCACCACCTGAGGGCTGAGTGCTAGTTCAGAAGGTAAGGTGTTTGCTTTGCATGCAGCTGACCTGGGTTCGAGCCAGGACCACATATAGTCCCCACCAAAGTCCTGCTAGAAGTGATCCCCCCGAGCACAGAGTGAGGAGTAAGCCTGGAGTACAGCTGGGAGTGCCTCTGCCAAAAACAAAAAAGGTGGATGGCCAAGTGAAGAGGTTTTAACGAAGTAGTCAGTTTAGTCGGAAGTCCATTGTATTTAACAATACTACTGTCCCGGATATGGGATGTTTTCCAAGGTAAGCATCAATTTTCAATGGTCAGGTAATAACGTGGCTGCCGTCCAATCGGCTACGCTTCAGACAGCTCTGACAAGCTCTTTTGCAATTCAACACTTTCTTAATTAGTGTACAGCATATAAAAATGGCCTTTTATCAGTGAAACTAGAGTCATGAGGCCCTCAAAGTTAAGATTAAAGGCACTTGAAACGTACAGTTTGCATGTAGGCTGCAAGAATTCGTGAATCGCTTGCTTCCTGAGTGACCCTACTTCTTCAGATTTAGAAATATTACAAAATCTTACTTGAATTTTGTTCCCTTTGCCCCAAGTAAATCATCTGTACAGACTGTGGTCATCTAGGAGAGAACTGGGACTTCATCCAGTTCACAGTATGGGATGTACCTACTGTCCCTGTGCCAGCTCTGCTATTAAATGCAGACAGTTTACATAGGAGTGGTTTGTTTGGGGGACACACCCAGCGGTGCTTGGGGGACCGTGTTTGCAGGGTGGCAGGGATCCCCACTCCAATCTCTGTGGGCCCACAGCAGGAATCGAACATTCTCAAACTGGAAGCAAGATTTATTTATTTTTATTACTATTTTTTTGCTTTTTTGGGTCACATCCAGCGATGCACAAGGGTTACTCCTAGCTCTGTGCTCAGGAATTACTCCTGGCGGTGCTCAGGGGACCATGTGGGATGCTGGGAATCGAACCCAGGTCGGCCGCGTGCAAGGCAAATGCCTTACCCGCTGTGCTATTGCTCCAGCCCCTGGAAGCAAGATTTAAAGTTCACTCACTGTATCAAACTGGTCACTAGGATGACCAAATGCAACAGGCTTGGGTGGAGACCTCTGAAAACACTCTGAAATGGGGAAAGGTGTGGATGGTGCGGGGGAGGGGGGGTTAAGGGTGGAGGGAAGCTGACTCTGGTGGTGGGATTGGTATTGAAATATGATATGCTTAAAAATCAACCATCAAGGACTTTGTAAATTGTAGTTCTTTACCAAAGAAAGAAAAATTTCAGAGAGAGAGAGAGACAGAGAGAGAGAGAAATTGGGGCTGGAGAGAGTACAGCAGTTAGGGAGCTGGCCTTGCATGTAGCTGACCTGGGTTCCATCCCCAGCACCCTATCTGGTCCCCCAAGTCCACAGGAGTGGACCCGAGTGCAGAGCCTTGAGCATCACTCGGTGTGCCACTCCTCCCCACCAAAAAAATAAAAAACAAAAAACGAAAACAAAGACAAAAACAAAATTGTCTTAAGGATTGATTCTCTTGCAGGAAATGTCTGTAGAAACTGCAAGCGGTGGGGCTGGAGCGACAGCACAGCGGGTAGGGTGTTTGCCTTGCACATGGCCAATCCGGATTTGATCCCCAGCGTCTCATAAGGTCCCTTGAGCACCCCCAGGAGTGATTCCTGAGTGCAGAGCCAGGTTTCCATGTGGATAGCCAGGTGTGACTCCAAATGCAAAAAAAGAAAAAAAAAAACAGAAAAACCCAACTGCAAGCTGTAAAACTTTAAAAACACAAAAACCAACTGCAAGATGTAAATGGAACTTCCAGCTTAGACCAAAGCTCTATCTAGTGGGAGCACAAAAAGTTCGTATGAATGAGGGCCCGCGGTGAGAGGCAGCAGAGCCATTGCTGGCTCCAGTTGGTCTGCACCAAATGCTCCTCTGCCGTCTTCAAAGGACAAAACCTAAACACAAGATTCCTGATGGTGACGAAAAGGCCTAGAATATCATGGGTCTTGACCAGAGGGGAGAAAGCAGCCAGAGGGGTTTAGAAACCATCCCCATTCATTAATGCTTCTACACCATCAGGGTTACAAAAATCAGGGAGATCTTTTTTTGTGTGTGGGGGGGGAGGTACTGGGGTCACACATGGAGATACTCAAGACCAGAAATTGGCTCCTTGCTCTGGGGTCATTCCTGGTGGTGCTTGGGGGAGTTATACGGTGCTGGGGCTTGAAGCAGTGTTGGCTGCATGCAAGGCAAGTGCCCTTCTCCCAGAACATCTTTCCAATCTTGCTTGAGAGGTTTCTTTTTCATTAAAGGATCTTTTACTAGTTCTATAAAGTTCAGCTTTCCTAAGAAAGACCTGAAGACGTAAGGGTAGCGTTTGAACTTGTCATCTGAAGAACCCAGCAAAAGCAAAGGCTCTTCTCAGTGGCCAGCAGCAGGCTGGAAGACGCACTCGTGACTTGGGACCAGCCTCTGGGTACCTGCGCAACAAGGGGCAACAAGCTCCTCTTGGCCATTGGCTGCTGGGACTCCTACAGAGCTCCTCCAGCTCAGTCTTTAATAGAACAAATGATTTAACTGCAGTGAGTTGAAACTATTGGGGTCTAACTGGGGTCTAACTGGGAACAAAGACAAAGCACTGCACAAGCACGATGCTGATGGGCACAAGGAACCGGATTCTTAACGCTCCTTTGAAAATAGCGAAGTTGAGTTGCCTTTGGAATATTCTGGTTTTAGAGGACACCCTGTTTGTTTTTTGCGGGGCGGAGCCACAGCTGCCTGTGCTCAGGGATCTCTCCTGGCAGTACCAGGGGGACAGTATGAAATGCTGGTGAGTGTAGGATTAAGCTCCTTGACCCCTGTACTATTTCTCTAGCCCAAAGCTGTTAGTCACAGTATTTTTCATTACCACGGCATTTCAAAACTAACCTCTCCCCACTCCACTGTGGACACAGGGTGGCCATGAGCAGGTCGGAGGGGAGAACTGTTTTGGATTCCGTGTCTAGGGTAGTGGGTGATACTGCACCCCAGGGGTTTCCTTGTGGGGGGAGGGAGCAGCATGGGTGCCACTGAGAGGTCTTTTCTGCTTGCCTAAGGAAGGAGACTGTTTCTGAAAAGGGGGAGGTAGATCACCCAATGGAACCATGAGCGCTAGCCTAACAGAACTGTACTGTATCACATAACTGGAATAATTTGTCATTTTACTTTTACTACTGCACACAAAACCCAAAACTGTGCCTTCAAAACTGCACATGCAGAAATTTAGAAACAGTGATACTAAACATCACTGTGGGGCTTTTTCTACAAAATGCAACTGTTAGTGAGGAATTTCGAATATCCTGTTTTGCTATTTTTTCACTCTGGCTTCACAGGCCTGCACTTACTGTGCTCATTTTAATGGTATTTGACTTTTTTTTTTTTTAATAACAGAACACTCAAGTGTTCCGTTAAAAAGAGGATCCTGTTCAGACCTTTCCTCCCCTTCTTCAACTACACTTCCTCTTGAGATTCCTCCTTTTCTTGCTTGACCTCCGATAGATATGAACTATTGAAGTTTGTAACAACCCCAGGACACACGGAGTGGAATGTTCAGGGGAAGTGGGATATTTGTCAGGGACAAGCGAACTCTGGCCCGATTTTAAATTGTGGCACTGGATCACTGGGGACTACAACAGGCTTAGTGACCATTGGGAAAGTCTGTACAGAATTGCTTCAAGGGCTGGGATGAAGCTCAGTGGCAGAGCACTCACCACGCACGTGAGTCCCTGGGCTTATCCCTCCCACCAAATAGGGGGAAAGTTACTAAACATTCAAATACTAAGTGATAAAAAACATGGGGTGTGTTTATAAGACCTATTATTCTAAGGATATAATCTGTTAAATTACATTTCTTTGGAGACCACAGGGAAGGGCTTTTTCTTATTTTCACCAGTCTAATCCTAAGAACCCAATTCATTAGTACAAATCTGTTTCCAAGATTATTTTTACTATGCTTAAATGAAGTTTAGTGTTGCATCGACAATACAAACCTAAGTCTGTTAAAAATATAACACCAAATACAAACCCAAATATCTCACTGTAGCCAGCCACAGAAATGATAAATTACATCTAGTCATAAAAATCCCTATTCAGCTGAAATTTTTTA